GATAGATATAAGTATACAGATGGATTGACTGATTAAGTGACTGACAGATAGATATAGATACCTTTTACGATAGCCAGATAGATGGAGATAGATAATCTACATACTAAACGAATAGAGAAAGAAGACATTATATGATGAAAGAATTATACAAAATTCTAAAGTTCGTCCGTGTTCTTAATTATCTTGATTAGAGATGAAAGTTGTTGACTCTAATGTTGTATTATCTCTTGCTGCCCCCCCCTTTTTTTTGGGGGGGATGCGTTGTCTGATTACATTATTTATCGTCCATTTAGTTCTGATTTTCCCCATAATGAATTCGCCACACTCACTGTGTGTTCGCGCATTTATTAGCTCTTTTTTTTCTTTTTTTTCTTTTTTACTTCGTCACGCTTTTCCATCCTGGACCAGGTCAGTGGGTGGCGAGAGAGAAATGCTGTGAACGCGAATGTCCCACAATGCGCATACACGCACACGCGCAAACAGCCGGACATGCACTACAACCCTAACACTTTCATAAACACATTCTCATGCTCATAGTGTGTATGTGTGTGTGTGTGTGTGTGTGTGTGCGTGTGTGTGTAAATACATACATATGTAGGGGAGGGACATACTTGCCCGCACCCGTACGAGTAACCTCCAGCAGCCACGACCCGCGTCACGGAGCACAGTACCCTCCCGCCGCAACGCAAGCGACCCTATCTCCATAACAGCAATTAAAGAACCATCAAAAACGAATTTGCGGCTGGATGTACCAAACCTTCGTTGTCCAATTAACGAGATTATATTCGGTTAAGTGATTAAGCTTAATTAATGTCTTCTTTCCGGTTAATTAGGAGTGTTGGGCTAGGGGCGGACGGCGCGAACACTCGTGCGGTGCTCAAAGGGGAAAGGGCGCCTGCGGTCGGCGGAAGGAGGTGGATTGGTTCGCTTTTGCTGTCGGTGCTCTGGTTGTTAGGGTGGTCACTTTTCTGGCGTCCATACTTCTTTTGGAATTCATTTTGTAATTAGCGTGCTGTTTTTTTCTCTCTTTCTCCTTCTCTCTCTATCTCTCTCTCTCTTTCTCCTTCTCTCTCTCTCTCTCTCTCTCTCTCTCTCTCTCTCTCTCTCTCTCTCTCTCTCTCTCTCTCTCTCTCTCTCTCTCTATCTCTCTCTCTCTCTCTCTCTCTCACTCTCTCTCTCTCTCTCTCTCTCTCTCTCTCTCTCTTTCTCTCTTAAGGAGAAGTTTTTCCTTTTCCTTTCTTTTCTTTTCTTTTCTTTTCATTCTGATGTTCGTCCTTGAAAGGAGGGTGCGTTTCGGATTCAAGAGTCGAAACGGGCGGTTCATTAAATACCAACGCTGAGTGAAGTGAAGGGGATTGGATATCATTCGGCCTTCAATACCGTCTGTCTAGGAAATGGAGTAATAAGAGAACAAAATTGTTATTACAAAGATAAAGAACTGCGCCGCCCAGATATACAGTTAACAGGTGGAATCTTCATTTATTCTCAAAAGTTGACAAGTGGTAGGCATCGTTCTTGTTTCCAAGATGGCTGCCCCCGAGTAGGATGAACGATATTGTCATCCAATAGACGTGATTTTTAGCAACATAGTATTTATCCTCTGCGATATCATTATGTATGGTGAATAGTTATTAATATATATAGGTCTGCAGACTGAAGAAAATTATTCATTTCGCTAACTGTATAAAAGGTATGAATGAGAATCTTGCACTACAAAGATGTTCATCCTCATTCATGCCTTGTCCATTGGTAGGTCAGAGCTAATTGTTTAATTTGAACCAAATGTATTATTTATTAACCATATACCACAGTCTGTTCATAGCTGGGTTTTGATGGCCAGGAGTTTATATACCCTTTATGTTACGTTGATATATTTTATCATAGGAGTTTTACGTTCATTTCAACTCAATATTCAAACCACTAACTATAAAAAGGGATGGAGGCAGCGGTAGCCTTATTTTTCTCTTTCACCTTCATATTTTTTATAATATTTTTATTATAAGTATTATTTATTTTTTTTTTTTATTATTACTATCATTATGTTTTGGCTGTTGTTCTCATCGTCACTTTTTCTTTTTTTCAACTTCTGTTTCTTCTCACTTTCCTTTTCTTTGTTTATTTTCTTGTCTTGTCTTCCCCTTTTTCTTTTAATTATTCATGACATTCATTTGTTTCACACTCCAATTTATCAGGCTATTTCTGTATTACCCATAGTTTTTTCGTTTATTTTTATTTATGATGATATATTCATGTGTATCTCTCTCTCTCTCTCTCTCTTTCTCTCTCTGTCTCTCTCTGACTCTCTCTGTCTCTCTCTCTCTCTCTCTTTCTGTCTCTCTCTCGGTCTGTCTCCCACTGTCTGCCTCTTTCTCTTTCTCTCTGTCTTTCTTTCTCTCTTTCTCTCTCTATCTGTCTCTCTCTCTCTCTCTTTCTCTCTGTCTCTCTCTCTCTTTCTCTCTGTCTCTCTCTCTCTCTCTCTCTCTCTCTCTCTCTCTCTCTC